ATTTTCTCCAGGTGTTCCAACGCCCAGTGGTAAAAGGAAAACATTTTTCCACAGCGTGCGCGGCAGGGCCTCCCGTGTATTGTCGGGGCTCAGCGGCTGGTGGGGTTGCAGCAGAGGAGTGGCTGAAGGGCTACGGCTGTCATTGGGGCTTGCAGAGGTGCGTTGTCCGATTTTTGCCCGTTGATACGCGTGACATTTTCGGTATTGACCTGCGCGTGAGGTGCTTCTTGAGGAGACCGCGGAGCTGTCGCAGAATCCACGTGTGAGGCCTTCTGCAACGATTGGAGTGCCGGGGTTCGTGCGTCGGGCGTGTGCCTTCATATTGTGGACGGACGAGAAGACGCTGCTGCAGCTTGGGCGGGAAGACGTTGATTTGCCGCTCGTCATTCTACGAGGAGTTGCCGTGGACACGCCAGGTGGAGGTTCCGGAGGAGGTCGGGGCGGTCCTGCCTCTTCAGCGAGGAAGGGACGGCACCACCGACATAATGGGTTGCTTGTGATCTGCAGGGCGCGTGCCGGTCTGCCGAGGAGTGGGCGGGAGTCGCATTGTATCTGCGCACAAAGTCGTGATTCGATGCCCGATGTCTGCCTGCACACCAGGAAGACAGCCCTTGCCACACCGAAGAGCGACTGGCGTGCGGTGAGTGCGACTTCCTCCTGGGCATCCTTCCAGTATAACCTCTTGACGGCGGTAAGGAATTCCACGTGCCAGATCGGGACGCCTCATTGCCGGAAGGATCGTGCAATCGTGGCTTCTTCGTCAGCGGCCTCATTGCGTGGGATACCGCAGTGCGATGGGGAAAATATAAAGTCTGCAGGGTGGCCTCGCTTCACCAAAGAAAGCAGCATAATCCAAATTTACTCAGCAACGCAGTCACGCACGGCCAGTGGGGCAGCGCGGAGTGCCTCAATTGCCGACAGGGAGTCAGTTGACACCGGGGTTTGTGTGGACGATCGGGATGGTCCCAGACGAGGAGGTATGAGATGTCTAAAGCCAATTTTCAGTGGCAAGGCACTCTGCTCTCTATGAGCATGCGAGTATGCCGGCTGCTGCACGATGGACCTCCACAGAGAGACCATTTGTCTTTGTGGGACCGTATAATGGTGCAGCGGATCCAGATGCGAGTCCAGCGAGGGATGAAGAACCGTCTGCCCATAATTCAAAATCATAATCTCCTTAGAAAAAGTAAATTGAATTAAAAGCCGTGCGCCTGACATCGTCAGAGGCGTCGTTGGCAAAGCGTGGCCGATAAAATCTCACTTTGTTGCAGCCCACGGCGTCCCAGGGAATAATTCGATGTTGGGTAATGGGAATAGTATGATTGCGGTTGTGTGGTATCCCAATAGTGCCACAGACGCGTAGCAGTCCATCAATAGCAGCATCTCTCGGGAGCGGTATTGATGTCGCCGCTTTCCTATGCATGGACAGCGGCACAGGTTCCGTGTAGATAAGGGAGCGCAAATCCTCGTGATCATGGAGGCTTATATAGCGTTCGTATTGTGTGAGTGCACGACGCCAAAATATCTTACGGAGCGGAAGAATATTGGCTTCCAAATAGACAGATGTGTCTTCCGTAGATGCGCTCAGGCCAAGAATGTTTTGCTACCGTCGCGGTACCGTACCTCCATATTGTGGAGGTAAGTGGGGGCGAGTCACGGGACAATTGCCTCGCCATTATGAAATAGCACACTATGAACGTATCCAATCAAAAAGGATCGCATGGTGTGATGGGACGCGCCCGCCTCTGCGACCAGACGCAGCTGATAGCGGCGTGGCATGGTCCTCTTTGAACCGGTGGAAGCATGCGTAACACAATTGAGAAGTTGATCGAACGTGTTGCCCAGCAAGCGCACAGGGCGTGACTGAATACGTAGGTTCCCGCTAACAAGATGGAGATCGACCATGTCCTCGTCAGACCGTGTGTGTGTGAAGAGATGTAGAATAGAGCAGCTTCGCTCTTAGCGACGTTGATTTTTAGGCTGTGCTCGGCAGCCCATGTGGCCACAAGAGACAAGAGCGGTCGCATTGCCGCAGCACAGGCATGGATGTCCGCACCTAAGGCAACAAGTGCGTGTTCGTCAGCGTACATGAATGCGGAGGCAGAATAGATGTTCTCCAGGCGGCGCAGCAGACCATCCACACAGCAGAGGAAGAGTTGGGGTCCCGGGACGCCGCCTTGCGGTACTCCAGCTGAGGCGAGTTGTTTCCGGGAGTGCTGTTCGCGAGTGCATACCCCAACATAGCGGCCCCGCAGGTAGTTGTGCAGCCAGCGTTTCGTTCGTGGCCAAGGCGCGGTAGTCTGTCAAGCGTGCCGAATAACTTCCCATGGTCAGCGGTGTCGAACACAGTCGAAAAATCAATCGAGACCACAAGCGATGGCGACGAGCGTGTTGTGTGTGGGCGCCGCCTCCAGGGCGCTCATACTCCACAATGCTAAACTCATTCAGTTCACGATTAATTCTATCGATGACAATTGTCACCGCGTCCGATGTAGAACGCGAAGGTGTAAAGCCAAATTGACGTGGGTGGTGCGGCAATAACGCTGATAGACGGCGGTGAATCATTCTTTCGGTTTAGTAACACAGAGAGCAGCGTGATAGGTCTGTAACTCTCTGGGCGGCATGGATCCTTCCCGGGCTTGGGGAATGGGAATGGTGTCCACCGCGTTCCAGGAGCCAGGCAGGCTGCCGTTTGCGAAGGGGTTGTGGATCATCGTTCTAATTGTGCTGCGCGCGACGGGCCCGAGACGGTGCAGGAATTCATTCAACATGTTGTCGTGGCCAGGGGCTGAGCCGAGCGAAGAGTCGCGGATGGTCACGTCAAGTACATACGGCAGGAAAGGCCGATCCATTTCCCAGCCACCAAGAACCAAAGGAGCGCAGCGAGCAGCAGCAGCAGTATAAGGCGGTATGGCACGTGAAACCGCACAAAATGACGGACAAGCAGATTTGCCTGTTGCCGAGGCAGAGCACAGACGCGGTCCGAAGTTCAGTGCGGAGCACCACCGATTCCAGGGGATGAGGGTGCGGCGCCGCCACGCCTCGGAGATATCGCCGGCTTGGGCTGGGTGAGGCTCCAAGTTTTTCCGCGCGGGCTTCCAGAAGCATAGCGAAGTCACGGCGTAAGGCTTGATTTTATTCCACCACTTTTTGGATGAATTCGGCTCAAAGTAGGCTGTCTCCGGGTGAGGCAATGTGTGCGTTGTATGCGGCTTCGGCGGCTGACTCGGCCTGTTCCATTTCGTGTGTCCATATCTTTTTGGAGCTGTCACGGCTGCCGCGCGGGATGTGGCGCTCAGCTGCTCGTAAGATGCCTCCGCGAGGATCCAACCATGTGGACGCGGTGGAAAGGAGGGTTTCACACAACGATGTAAAAGCAGGTCAATCCGCTTTACGCAGGACAAAGGTGGCTTTCTTCCGTCAAGGCAGCGTGTTTGCTAGTCGTGGAGTGCCATCAACCATCTCTACCTCGTAAGATATCAAGCAGTGGTCCGAGTCCATGTAAGGGGCGAATGTCCAGTGGGAGATGCGTAGGGCGCAATACGCAGTCACGTCAGGGGACGAGGCATTACGATGTGTGATCCGCGTTGCCTGCGCCGGGTAATTTGCCAGCCCGAAATCCATTTCGATTAGAACAGCGGCGAAATTATCGTCTCCAGTCCTTGATGGTACATATGACTGTCCCAGAGTTCACGATGTAAATTCAGGTCACCCGCGATAATCGCTGCAGGGCACAAGCGACAAACGATATTGATAAATGCAGATTATTGACCAATTGCTGTGGGAGGGTTGTAGAGATTCGCCACGCAAATGCTGGGACAGCCCGGCGGAAATACACGGACAGCAATGGTCTCCAGGAGGTCAGTGCCAGGGAGCGTCAGGCGCTCGCACGGTAGAGAGTGGCGCACCAGAACGGCAACGCCACCACCGCGCCCAGTGAGGCCTGAAGGCGGTCATTATGGCCACACAATTTCGTCGCCACGTCACCACGGTTACTTATTTCCTGCAGAAGAACGATGTCAGGTGGACGCTGCTCCAATCGCGCCGCAAATGCAATATTTTTACGGACGAGAGGCCTGCAATGTTGAGCTGCCAAATATTAGTGATGCAGCCATCCTCCTCGGTGCCAGGGTTCTTGTGAACGTCACCGCCGCGGGTGATATCAACGGAGTGGCCGCAGCGAAACGGTCGTGCAGTTCTGACCGACAGTCTGCAGGCAGACCGCCTCCTCTCCCCGCACCGGGCATGGCGTGGAACCTTCTCGGGGGGTGAAGTCACCTTGGTCTCCGTCGTGCTCGCAGCAACGCACCGCAGCGGAGTTCCTACACGCAACCAGAGCCCCAACACCGCGACAAGGTGCGACTTCATCGCTAGTTGCTGACTTTGTTGTGACGACGCGGCTCTCATAGCTCAGTCGGTTAGAGCGTGGGTCTAATAAGCCCAAGGTCACAGGTTCGACCCCTGTTGGGAGCACTTTTTCTCCAGAAATAAATTTAACGAGCTGTGCATGTGTTTCGCGGGTTTTTGATAACTTTTTGCTATTATTATTATTATTATTTCAAATTCAATTCATTCGACGCGTAATGAAAGCAAGGATGTACCAGAATGGAGAAATAAAATCTCCCTTGATGATTTAGAAGGCGCAGCCGTCCACCTCGACGCGGTGGCAGGGTTTATTAATCCTCTGTTTTTTTTTCCAGGGAGGGCGCGAAGGTAACGGCGTACTTGGATTTACGGGGGCCATGTTTAATGGCCTTTCGCAGGGGGCAGGGGGGCTAATAAGGTTATCCCTTCCCGCTGAATTCCATCGTACGCCTAACAGAGCTGCGCATTGGAGGGGTGTGTTTTCACTACGGCTGGTAAGAACAGGAGAAAAGAAGAAAAAAAAAGGTGGCTGCAGCCTCTTTTCGTTTGAGCCCACACCCCAAAACAACCACCCGAACATTTATACATCTACATATTAGGATACACGCGTGTGGGCGCACCGCCATAATTTTCAATTACCGTGTTTCTGTGAGAATGGAAAGATCAAAACACTCCTTGTAGCGACGGTTTCCTGCCGCCACTGCTGCCAGCGCACCGGAGCATAGCGCAGTCGTGGTGGCGTGCGGTGTGGGCCGAATGCACTTCAGAATCCATTCCTTCATGAGTCCATTGAAAACAGAAACGTCACGGGCACGTGGATTGATTGCATCCAAAAAGTGCGTGTGAATAGACCCTAGTGGTTTCCCTTCGTAGCACAGCATCCACTCACCCTGTGCACCGATGCGTCTCATGGAAAACTGCCGCGCCTCCAGCAGCGGATTCTTCCGATAGGATTGAAAGAAACGCCAGTAACCATAATTGTGCTGCGGGGGAATCTCGTACAAAGTGGAAGCGAATTTCTTTGCAACATTCTCTAGGGAAGCCTGATCAAAGAAACGTGAGTGCCGCGTCGCACGTCGCCATTCATGCAAAGGAGCAGGAGACGCAGCAGCCACAAACCCACCATTGTAGCGTCCAAAAAGGGCCTCATCCCTTGGAGAAATTCGATGAGGTGAGAGCGCCACTTCCGTACCGGAAGGAATTCGCGGAAGTTCATTCAACAAAATAACATCACAGTCCAGAAACAATACCGCCCCCATGTTTTCCCCGCCGTGTTCCTCTCGAAGCATCATGGCATGTTCCATGAGGTTCGCCTTCTCCATCATAAAGTCCGTGTGCCGTGAGGGGTACCACACACCGGGCTGCCGCTCCATTTCTCTCCGCTGGATCGGCACGTAGGGGTCCAAGCACGGTATCCATACCATGCGACTATCATTACAAAATCCGGCGTAAGCTTTACTCTTCGTGTTTTCCCCTACTTTGAGCATGGCTGATGTGCACCCCACAATGACGGGGATATCCGGATGGTGTACTCGCAGGCAACGCAGGAAGAGGTAAAGTTCTTCGTCACACTCCGGTGTGCCCATAGTGCAAACAGACGATATCCCTGTTTCCATTACCGCTACTGCGACAGCTGACATATGAGGACCTTCTGGACAATGACGTGTTTTTCTTTTTCTTTTTTGTTCTTCTCTTCAAAAAGGGGGTGCACACCAACCACCACCAAATGCATACAAATAAAGCATAATAATAATAATGATAATAATCGGCAACCATAGCAAACAACCATTTTTTTCTAATACAATAAAAATCACTTCTGGCAATGTGATCGCAGATCACTCATGCCATTGGGTTTCGAGAGAAAGTGATGGAATCATCGAAATGACGACAACAATGATGTGGTTCGTTCCCCAACACACACACACACACACACTGAGTTCATGTCGACCGTCTCCCTCGATTCTTCAATGCCTTAGCAATACCAAATCGCATGTCCGCTTCGGTAATGGTGATGCGTGGTTCTGAATTAGGAACCATGACAGCCAAATCATCATCCTCATCATCATCCCTGTCTGCATTGCTCTCATTTCTTAACCTGTCAGTAGAGGAAGAAGCCATCTGCTCTCGCAAGAGCTGCCAACAGTTCACTTCCGTGTCAAACGGCAACCGTCCCTGCTGCGGCTGCAATGGAGATTGGGAACCGTTTTCTTTATCAGTGCTTCGCGAGCGTTTTTTACCCTGCGTCGCGTTTTGCATGAGCAAAGGAACCGTCTCCCCTTTTCCAATGGCAGTTGGAAGCAACAACGTCCATAAGCCCAAACAACCATGCGTTTCCGCTCGGCGCACACCAACGGGCTTCGGTGCAACACTACCGTCTTCTGTCGCTTGTCCCCTCGAGCAATTTTCCGCATCCTGCGCCATGTCCTTCTCAATCTTTTCCAAAGCGTCTGTGAGACCAAGACGGTATAATGCCGCCACAGAAGCCTCCACCAGAGCCTCAACAATAGTGCGAGCCGCACGATGGCACCACCGTTCCTCATTCGACAGCAAGGATCGTACCGGGCCATAGTGCACACTGTAGTCACGCAAGACCATCGCCGTACGTGCACACACTTTCCCAAAGAGACGATGTGCCGATGTTCGTCGTTTCTCTCGCTGTGACGCTGCGGTGTATCGACCTCCATATGTTCCCTCGCCATGCATTGCGCATGGCAACCACACACCATATCCACCACTCCTCTGCGAACCTCTTCGCAACAGTGGCGACAAGGATGGCATCGGGCAGATGTCCAAATTTGTCTCACAGGCAACCAAATAACAATGTTGCCGTCCATACTCCTCAACCAAAGGAATGTTCTGCCGTGCCTTCTCCGACACGTTCGAACCCTGAAGAAAGTTCCGTCGCTCTTCTTCCGTCTTACCAAACCACCACCGGATTAGAGCCATCGGTGGCGCCGTGGCAGCATCATTCTCCTGCATGCTACTCATACATCGACTGGAAAACAGCAACAACAACCAAATCGACAAACAAAGAGCAACACAACCCCACCACCACCAGTAGCCACGTGGTGCATATATATTTATATATAAACCGAAAAGAAGGGAAAGAAAGAAGGGAGAGAAGGCGAACTGACAGGCACGGAGAGCAAACGTTTAGTTTATATACCACTTTTCCGCTATCCACCCCACCAAACAACAACGACAACAAACAAACAAACAACATCGCAGTTTTAGGCCGAGAATTTAGCATATATATAAATATATAAAATTGTTTTTTCCACCTCTCCTCCTCCACCTTTTTTTCTTTTTATTATTATTCTTTCTTTCCGTTTCAGAAAAGACATGTCTATCCACCAGGGCCATGGATCCCTCACCAACAACACTGCAACATTTTTTTGAATCACACAACCCTCCAAAAAAAAAAAAAAAAATGATGAAGAGGGGGAGAAGGTTGAAAAAATAATAATAATAATAACAACAACAAATAAACAAATGAACTCCACCGCAGACATAACCAACGTCTTTTTACACCAGCACACCACTTTGTTCTGCAGCACCTGGCTTCTTTGCTGACTCAGCGTTCGTATCACCGCCTGGGTTCTGACCGTGTTGTTGGGCCACAGTCACACCGTGTTTTCTGGCGTAGTCTTCCATCACAGCCTGTTTCTCCGCAAGGATTTTATTGAGTTGTTCCAATGCTTCCTGAATGCCCTTTACGTTATCGTCCAGCTCGGGTAAAATCTCAGCCACCGTGCGCTCAATGAGGGCTCCACCAACAAGGCGATGACAGCGGCGATCACCGTTCAGTGGTCGCAGGGCCTCGGCAACCAGTTTGTGCTCGTGTAACTCGTTCTCTAATTCAGAAATGCGAGAGACCAGAGAAAGACACTCCTGACGAAGTTGTTGGTAGCGTTGCACAATAGCCTCCTCCGAGGGTGTATTGTTGCTCCCGCTATTGTTCGTAGAGGTCATATTTATTACACGTCTTGTGTCCGTTTCCTTCCTTCTTCTTTTCTTCTCCTCTCTTTTTTTTTATCCTCCCGTTCTAAATTAATCCCTCAAACCAAAATTCATCGGACCAAGAAAGAGAGAAGAGGATGTGCACATAACGACAAGTGGATGCAAGAAACGTATACAAACACAACACGCACACACACACATAGAGAGAGAGAGAGAGAAAGAGGAGAGAAAGAAAGAAGAGAACACTTCAATACATCTAAAAGCCCTTTCTCATCTGCATACAAAAAAAAAAAAAACATGTGAATAAATAAGTAAATATATTGTATATTTAATCTCTTTTCATTATGCTTTATTTTACCCTTAACCCTTTTTTTGCACCCTCTTCAGCAGCAAGACGAGCGGCAACCCCGTCCTCCAGTCGGTGTAGCCTCACATCGTTGCCATGCATCTTCGCATTGGCCATATGCAGAAGCCGCCGCAAATAGGCGTGCTGACCCTTGACGTAGTTCACGCCGTCTATAATGAGAGGGACGTCCAGCCCTAGTCCAGAGGCGTGGCGGATTCCACACATGATTTTCTTCCCTGGTGGTGTGACCCCGCTGTTGCGGAAACCAGCGTCCGTTGCGGCAGCGGACAACAGTCTTTTCGCACTCTCCATCGTGCGGCACTCGACATGCATCACAAACGGTTCCATTTTCAACGCGACCATACCAAAGACTGGTGGAGAAGAGGCCTGAAGTACCCCTTCCCGCACCCAAACACCATCCAATTCGCCCTCTTTCTGCTGTTCTTTTTCTTCTCCATCTTTTTTATTACTTGTCGCTCCTTCTAGCGGAGTCGTCGCGGTCTCCGTTACAACTCCATCCTTAACATCGTCACACAAGCAGCTGACAAGAACATCAATCTCTCGCTCCGTTAGCACGTCATGCTTGACCACCAACCAACCTAATGCGTCTTTGCCGCCTCTCTTCAGTGACGCTGGCGGCCCAGCAGCCCCACGATCCTCCGGAATGATAACACTATGGAAGAGTGCAATGCGACCCGAACAGCTGCTTGTTGTAACATAATCATCATGTGTATTCAAGAGATGCATGAGTGGAAGGCACTTGTGATCCACACCGCCCTTGGGACTATGATCGCTTGCGTTACTGGAAAGATTTATCATCACTTGCTGTTTATGCGCCAAAAACTCCTTTTCACACTGTTTTTGTTTCGCTACATGAGAGCTTTTGCGCTGCTGATATTGGGGTGATAATTCCTTCCCTCTATTAGAAGGGCGTTTCCCATTTTGCTTCTTTTTTTGAGCTGCAGGGGACTTTTCATCCAACTCTCCCCTTTGCACAGCGCAGAGCAGCGCCGACGAATCCGCTTCTTCCCACATGTGTCCAATCACCAAATCCTTCTCTGCCCACCCCACCCCAATAAAACCACGTTGGAGCGAGCAGATAGAAGACAAGTTGAGAGAGAGCGAGAGAGAGAGAGCGGTGTTTCTTTCCGGTTTGGCAGCTTTCCATTCATTCATTCACACACACACACTCACAACACACCATCCATCTCGCCCTCCTGGCAACAACAGTAACGGAAATGAACACCCACGTTATCCAAAGGGTGACACCCCTCCTCTTCCTCCTCACCCCCTATAAAAAACAACAACAACAACACGACGTGCTAAAGAGGGTTCCACAGGCCATGAAGAAAATGTAACTTTTGTTCCAAAATATAAATGAAATAGCAACACTGCAAATAAATAAATAAATAAATAAATAAATAAATAAATAAATAAATAAATAAATAAATAGGGCTAAAACGTGTGTCTTTAGATCAATGGCTGGGCACACCTCTTGGAGCCACATTATTACATGCGTGGGAATAGGGCATACAATGCTGAAGGGGAAAAAAGGCACTGGGAAATGAGTGCGGCAGAGAGAACGCCTTCATTGCGAACCTCGTCCCAATCCCTCTCCCCAGAAACAACAACAACAACAACAACAACAACAAAAGCTTTGCATTGTTCACAAGACCCATAAACACCGACCGCATGCAGAAACTTTTTTAAAAGACTTTTTTTCTTTTTTTAATTTATTCCCCATGCGTCAGCTTCCCATCAGAGAAGGAAATTCACAGCGACTTCCATTTTCCATTTCTTCCTCTTTTTCAACCCAAAGTGGTATTTCTTCCTTAATTTCTTCGCCATTTTCCCTGGCGCCATGAGCAGCATGCCGCGGAGAACTTAGCCGCGGTAGGAACCTTTTTTGTTTATTTCCTCGAACCGCTGCTCTGTTTCCTTCAACCGCATCAATAGCCGCATCTGCACTGGAGGAACGAAACGACTTCCCCCATCGGCTGGCTGCGGCGGTTGCTGTGACTGTAGCTGCAGGGGGATCTTCCGCTGCAGTGAGAGCCTCCAAGGAGCAACCCCTCCGTGAAACCGCGTGGGTGGCTTCCTGTGGATGCTTCTGAACGAGTTTATGACGTGGTATTGGGAATGCCGTTCCGGAGGATATGGATGGGCTGCACTTCCAACGGGGTCGTTCATAACCGTCAGAATCCACCACGGCCATGGCCTTATCGGAGTCACATACATAAAAACATTGCGTCTCGTTGTTTCTCCAGGCTCTCATGAGTAATTCATCACTTGTGTTACCCGAACAAGAGGCCACACAGAGTGACTGCAGGCGGAAAGATGTGAGAGACTCCGCAGATCGGGCTCTTTTGGCTGGAGCAAATAAAGACGTCGCCACGTGACAAGTATGATGGAACTTGCCATAGAACGAAGTGTTATTTGCCCGTCGCTTCTTCTTTTCACTACGCCACTTAAGTAAAAAAGCTAACATGCGTTTTCCACTGATATTCGGATCCGCAAAGGGTTGATGGAGGAAACCGCAATTTCCCTCTTTGCTTTTACCAGCCTCCTCCTTCGGTACTAGCCGTCCATGCATGTCTGCATCGGACGCAACGGCATGTCTAGTGGCATCGGCTCTACCAAAGGCTGCCGCCTCCGTTTCATTCCAAGAGGGGCTTGTACTACAGTCTATGGCGTCCAGCAGATGTGTGTGAACATCCATCAAGGACTTATCAAGATTTGTATTGTTTATAATTTTCAAATGAAGATGATCATATGCCTGTTCAAGCAAGTGTTTTTGAATCAGGCGAATATGATGAAATTGTGAGACATATTTATTACGTTGCGGGGAAAGAGCCATACACTTGGCACGGGTACGAAACCGCTCAAGATGACGTTCCTCCTTTGTAATGCAGACAAGAAAAGACACACATAATACACCGCGTGCTTTTAACTCCACAGTCTTGCGTTGCATGTAACTTGTTAGCAGATGAACCCCCTCTACTAATACCACTTGATTGCGGCAAATAAATTTCTCCAGTATGCCATCCAAAGCCCGCAACACCACCTCGCATTGCTTTTCATACGCAGCAATGACAACTTGTGGGTCACATTCATTTCCTTCTTTTCCCGCCCTTGGCTTTGTTTTCCCACCACTTCCTTTGGCTCGGTGTGCCTCATATGTAGAGAGAAACAACTCTGGAAATTCCTCTCGTCGTAAGGTCCTTCGAAGCGACTGACGAATCGTGTCTGTAGAAAGAAGGGTGTTAAAACAAATATTCGTTGTAATAAGACTAGAGAGAGTACTCTTTCCACATCCACTGGTTCCACCACAAAACACGATGAGTGATCTGCGGTTTTGTACAATGGCTTGGGTCACATTCCAGCGGGGCAGCGGAATCACTGTAATGCGCTGCCCACGGAGTTCATTGATAAGAAGTCTGGCGATACACCGATCAAATGTATGCTTGGCAGTCACAAGCGTGTACCGGTTTGACAGTGAGGGTGCCTGCATCACCTCCTCCAACTGTCCCAAGTCCCGATTCCCCAAGGCAACACTGGCAGCAACGACAAGTTCAGCAAAGCAGACAACTGTACTCTTGTCAGTTGCACCACCACAATGAATGCGGGAACGCAGTACATCATTCAACGTGTCATATCGCACAAGTGTTGCAAAGTCCTCAGCGGCACCACTTGGTTTGCACGTGTGGGAATCGGTAACTTGAGTGGTGTCTCGGCCTCCATGATTTCCACGCTCCTTGCTGTCAGATTCAAAAAGACCTTTATAGCACAAGAAGAGAAGATATTCCCACAACTGCCGCACAGCTTCATGACAGTGATGTCTCTTGACACCACAGAGCACAAGAATCTTGCACATTTCATGCCAAGTAAGAAACCGCTCGGGCGGCACACTAAAAGGGGAAGATATGGCACCAGCATCTATAGCAGCATCATCCACGGTAGCCGTATTTACACCTTGATGAACCTCCTTGCTCGACAGTTCCGCATTCTCTTGCGGCAATACGACAAGAAATGGTACTGCCACGTGAAGGCCCCAAAAGGAACTGAAGGGCGATAACATGTTCTTTGAAGCAATGGGGTGCTGCCCATTACAAAGAGGGTGACGGGTGAAATAAGCACAAGAAACGGAAGTAGCATGACATCCAGAACCCTTTAAATCGCCAGAATTCCACAAATGAGACTCAGGGGAATTAAATGCCTCGTCCGACGCTTCCGCCGTCTCGACTGTTGAACCTACGGCCTCCATCCAATGAAACTTCTTGTGGAAGACCGTCTGTCAAATGTTCATGTAAAGACACACACACACACAAAAAAAAAACAACAACATGCATGACACACACACACACACACGCCAAGTCAACGGATACATACACACAAAAATGTATATATGTATAAAAAGTGAGGAGTAAACGAGAAAAAAAGGAAGGGAAAACACACACAAAAAAATAGCAAAGGGAGGCCACGAAGTAAGCCTCACGGCCAAGAAAAAAAAAAAAAAAAAGAATAATCAAATTTTGGAATTTTCGCAAGTTTTCTCTTTTTTTTTTTTTTTTTAATTTACCGCCCACCCAACCCCGCGCTTTTCACAATTCCGCGTCCTGGGAAAATGTGTCATCGCCCTCTAAGGCTGTGGCTCCATCCGTGCGTTTTGCTCCTCAATCGTTTGTTTCAAGAGCCCTAACATATCCCGGTGCTGCTGCTTCCTGACCAACAGAGACTCATATTCCCTCCTTGCAGCAGTCATCTTCGACGTCACATCCTCATTTCTTCGAAGCACTGCATCCAGAGAGTCACGCAATTGTGTCACCACCCGCTCCTGCTCCCGGATCAGCTCCACGGAGACACTCTTTGACACCCACGATGGCTGCCGCAGACACCACTCCATCTTCCCCGATAACTGCGTCATGATAACATCCTCGCTCTCCAGACACTTGAGGATTTCCATACGTGTGTTGTGGCGGGCAAAGGCGGCTCGCAACTCCTCGTACTTGGAGGACACCTCCTCGTTAAGCTCGCAAATGCGCATATGAATCTGCATCAGCTCCAAACGGGTCGGAAATGCATCGGTACGCCGTAGAAGATCCGACGCTTTCTGATTGATCGCCGACAATTCTGCTTCTTTCCGCCTTAATTCAGCTACGTACTTGGCACGCTCCTTCTCCCAAATGTCGTCTACACCGGGTTCCGCATTCGCACTACGTTCGGCAAGAGCAACACAGTTCGCCTTGGCAGCTTTCAGACGCTGCTTCCCATCTCTTCGTGTCTCCTCCAAAAGCAGCCGTTGCTCTTCCTTTTGGTCCAAGAGGCCCTGAAGTTTCTGCAGGAGTTTGCCCCGTACAGGATCCGCCATGACATGCTGATAAACATCTTGAAGGTTATGCATGTATTCTGTCCATTTCGCAGTGCGTCGGGCTACTTTCGCCTTCGCATCCTGAAGTCTCGATTGCGCCTCAGCAAGCTGCTGCTCCGCCTCTTCACACTGCAGCCGCAGCGTCTCGGACTCTTGACGGTATCTCACGGTTGCCTCCTGTTTCTGTTGCAGTTTTCTCTGCATGGCCTGTACACTATCCTGTTGCATTTGCCGTTCTTGCTGCCGTGCGTGATACTCCGCACTTAATTTCTGCAAGGACTCGGATATTTTCGTTGTCTGCATCAAAGTCTTCACCTTACTAAGAGACATTTTCCCATCCATGCGTTCGCGGTTTTCTCGCATCTTTTTTATAATCATCTCGAGCATTCGCTCCTCCCGCATCTCTTCTTCCTCCAGTTCTCGCACTTCTCTGGCTACTTCTTCACCCTCCGCAACCACACCCCTCGACACATGTCTTAGCATTAAAACCGAGTTCCGCATCTCGTACCTTATCCCATACTCCAGTAGCGCGGAGGAAACATGCACCAGGCGGGAAAAATTCTGCCCACCTTGCGGTTTCCCCACACTGTGGCGATCTGCAACCTCTGAAATCCGTTGCCGCAAGGGGGCGGGGCGACGCCTGGAAAAACACAGTGACTCCTGCGTGGGCGGCAGCAACGAAACATCATCACCACCACTCTGCGCTGTCATCTCCTTTTCCGAAAGTAACGACTGCAGAGAGGTACCGAAGCGACGGGAAAAATCCCACGCGGTCTGCTTCTCCAGAAAAAATGCGTTTTCCGCACGG